GCAAAGATCTTTAGCAGGTTATCTTTTAGCCTTCACCTGTACTTCATGAGCCATGCTCCAGTGGGGAACGGAGACATAAAATAGCCAAGATGTCGCCTTGCCTCTGTGAAATCAACAGGGTAGGACATGCTCTCCTCTTCACTTTCATCTGCACATAGTGTGGACCTTCCTTTTTCAAGTTTAAGTCTTGTAAAAAATAATAATAATAAGCATTGGCAAGACTATGAAGAAGTGTGAGCTTGTATAATGGAGGTAGCTATTTTAAATAGTACAACCAAAATGGAAAGCAATAGATCAAAAAAATCAAATCAGAATTGCCATATATGCCAGAAACTATACTTCTAGATATATCCAGAATAAGTAAAAGTGGATTCTTCAAGAGACATCTGCTCAACTATATTGTTAGTGGCATTATGTAGAAAGGTAGAATAAACCCAATTGCCCACTGATGGGTATACAACCAAAACATGGCACACACATACAGTGGAATATTATTTGTTCTTAAAAAGGGAGGAGATGCTGATACAAAGAGATGGTTTGGCCATTAAAGTCTCACAACCAAATGGACAAGAAAGGAAATTGTGTCATATCCTAAGGAGATGCACACTGAGGATATTGCACTAAGTTGAATTAGCTAGTCCTAAAAAGATACATCCTTTACTATTCCACTGATGTTAGGCATCTAGACTTGTCATACTCATAGATGTGGAGAGAAAACTGGTGATTGCCACAGGTGGGCATAGAGGAGAATGGAGGATGTCACGTGATGGGTTCCAGCTATGTACCATAAGAGAGTCCTAGGGGTTGGTACACAACACTGAAGATTCTGAACCTAAAAATGGTTCCCATTGTACATTTATGCCTAGTGTATTTTACCACCATTAAAACAGAGAGAAAAATTGGTTAGAAATATAGCAAATACTACAGCGATTCTGCATTTTCTCTTCCTTTGATTTGTGACTGTGGTCCTCTGATTCTGTGTAGCAAGCCTGCCCACCAGAGCTTGAGTAAGCATGGTTCCAGAAAAGGACTTGGAGAAAACAAATCACAAGCTCCTTGCTTCAGCTTGCATCTCCCTGACACTTCCTCTTACAAATATTCCTCAGCAAATGCTGCAAGAAGAGTCTAGAAGAAAGCACAGCATTGTGCTTAAGTAGAAAAGAGAGCAGATATTATTTAGCCGTATTATTTTAGACATGCCATATTCCACTAACAGCTGGCAAATTTTTTAAGCATGGCCCAAAAGCTGTAATCGCTGAATGGAACTTCCAAAGAATGCACAGAAAGGAGAGCACATTCCTGCAGATTATTTAACATAATCATCTCATTTATGTTCTAGCCAAACACCTAAGATGCCTCCCAACTTGACACTTCACGAAACAGGTAGTTAATTAGCATAGATAAAGCAGCATTTAACCCTGAGTCTTCCCAGCAGGCATCTGGCAAGGTATGAAAAGCAGGAAAAAGAAAATAAAAATGGTGGGGAGGGGGAAATGGAGAATGGAGCCAAAATCTCTTGGAAATGAGAATCAGAGGAAGGAAGGCAATAGCCCTGTGGAGGTTTGTCTGGAGAGGCCTTGGCACTTTGGACTCACTAGTTCTTTGTAGTGACTTGGTTTATTTTTGGTGTATCCATATGGTGTGAGCATGAGCTGCCCATAAGAGGGCATGGTTAGGAAGTACAGGATGTCTTTTTCCTTGTTTTCTATAAGGCTGGGAACTACTTTAGCCTCTGTTTCTGGCATTGGTTCTATCCACAGAACATTAAATCTTGGCAGTTTGTGGATATGCTGATACCTGGAAAATATAGGAGGTCATAGAAACGTGTCATGATCTCAGTTTACAAACTGAATAGCAAGCCTTGCTCAGGGTACTCCAGGCTTGTCTGTGACTGTCAAGTCAGTCCTGTGAGTTAAATCAACGGCATAGTCACTAAAGTAACCATGCCTATGAGGAGCTCAGAATGGCATGAGAACTGTCCTGAAGGTGTAGACTCAAACTGTGCAAACTCCATCCCTTTGTGGCTCAAAACAAATGCAAAACAAAAGGGCAGTGTAATAATCTATTCTTAAACCTGTAGTGAATCAGGGGGTTTTGGAGGATAGGGAGTGGGGAACTGGGAATCAAATGTCAGATTCCTAAGGCAGGTTCTCACTGACTCATCCTCCATGTCTTCCTTACTGGCTTCTGTCCCATCAGAGCTATTTTGTAAGAATCCAGGCAGTCTGCCCACATTAGTAACAGTAAGTCCCCTACATGCTAGGTCAGTGCCCTTCCTATGTGGCATCACATTTAACCCACATATTGGACGTTGGTTAAGATGGGATTGTATGACCAATGTTCAAATAATAAGAAGACACAAACAAACAAACAAACAACAACAACAACAACAGAAACAAGACCACCAAGCAATGGAGACTATCTTAACCCTTGGCAGCCAGTGAGTGGTAGTGTTCTCACCATCCCGATTAGTCATCTGCTTCCAGTGCCTTCAGCATACCGAGATTTGCAGACACAGAAGTGCGCAAGAAGAAGAAAATATTTACTCTGCTTGCTGTCTGCCCCCTGCTGTAAAAAATACCCAAAGAGAGCACTCTGTCTTTAATCTTCTTGATGGTGACTTATATATTTTAAAACCAAGTGATGGTTTAAAACGTATTCTGACCGTTTATGCTGGCTAGATTTTTTTGGAATTTTTTTTTTTTTTTTTACATATCGATCCCAGTTCCCTCTCCCTCCCTCCCTTCCTTCCTCCATTCCTCCCTCACTCTCTCCCCTCCTCACATGCACCCCGACCACCCTTTATTCCCACTCCCCCCCACACTCCTCATGTAGGGTGATGCCATCCAGGAGGGGTCATCTAAATCTGTCAAGTCATTTGAAGTAGGGACTAGGACTTCTCTCCTGTCTCTAGGTTAAGGCAGTTATCCCTCCATGGGGGATGTGTCCACAAGGTCCTTTTGTGCACCAGGGATACATCCTGGCTCCACTGTCTGAAGTCCCTTAGACTGCTCAGTCCTTCTAGCTGAGACCCATGTTCAGGGGGTCTGAGTCAGTCCCATGCTGGATTTACAGCTATCAGTCTGGGGGCCCGTTAGCTCCTCCTTGTTCAGGTCAGCTGTCTCTATGTGTTTCTGCAACCTGGCCTTGTCCTCCCTCTCTGCATCTGGACTCTAGTTCAGCTCAGTGTTCAGTTGTGGGTGTTTGCTTCTGTTTCCAACAGGTACTAGATGAGGGCTCCATGATGGTGGATAAGTTAGTCGTTGTTCTCATTATCAGGAGACAGCATTTATGGTAGCCTTTCCACTGTTGCTGAAATTGTTAGAGGGAATCATTCTTGTAGGTCTCTGGATATATCTTTAGGTTCAGTTTTCTCTTCAATCCTATAATGGCTCCCTCTTTTATGTTCTCTCTCTCTCTCTCTCTCTCTCTCTCTCTCTCTCTCTCTCTCTCTCTCTCTCTCTCTCTCGTATTCTATTGCTCCCCTGACTCAATCTTCTTAGTCCCATGTGCTTTCCTGTCCTCCCCTTCTCTTTCTCCTAGTTCCCTCTCCACTTACTGCCCCCCCCATGTCCTCTGGAGAACTTGTCCCTTTCCCCTTCTGTGAGGGACCTTATATGAATCTCAGAATCCATCTTGTATCCTAGTTCCTCTGGCGGCATGAATTATAGGCTGGTGATCCTTTGCTCTAAGTCCAAAATCCATATATGAGTGAGTACATACCATGTTCCTCTTTTTGTGACTGTGTTACCTCATTCAGGATGGTTTCTTCAAGTGCCATCCACTTGCCTGTGAATTTCAAGATTCCATTACTTTTTTCTGCAGAGTAGTATTCCATTGTGTAGATGTACCACATCTTCTTTATCCATTCTTCACTTGAGGGGCATCTAGGTTGCTTCCAGGTTCTCGCTATTACAAATAATGCTGCTATGAACATAGTTGAGCACATGTCTTTGTTGTATGGATGTGAATCCTTTGGGTATATGCCTAAGAGGGGGATTGCCGGGTCCTGTGGTAAACTGATTCCCATTTTCCTGAGGAACCGCCATACTGATCTCCAAAATGGCTGTACAAGTTTGTACTCCCACCAGCAGTGAAGGAGTGTTCCCCTTTCTCCACATCCTCTCCAGCATAAGTTGTCATTGGTGTTTCTCATTTTAGCCATTCTGGCAGGAGTAAGGTGGTATCTCAAAGTTGTTTTGATTTGCATTTCCCTGATAGCTAAGGATGTTGAGCACTTTCTTAAGTGTCTTTCAGCCTTTTTGATTTCCTCTATTGAGAATTCTTTCTTCAGTTCTGTAGCCCATTTTTTTAATAGGGTTATTTGGTGTTTTGTTGACTAGTTTCTTGAGTTCTTTGTATATTTTGGAGGTCAGCCCTTTGTGGGATGTAGGATTGGTGAAAATCTTGTCCCAGTCTGTGGGCTGCTGTTTGGTCTTGTCCACTGTGAGAGGACTGGGATTGACATGTAAAACAAGCTTTGTTTCAAATATAAATGAAAAATATTATCATAAAAATGTAGAGCATTTTCTTAATTAGTGATTGATGTAGAGGGCCCAGCCCATTATGGGTGGTACCATCCCTTGGCAAGCAGCCTTGGGTTCTATAAGAAAGAAGGCTGAGCAAGCTGTGAGGAGCAAGACAGTAAGCAGCACCCCATCCATGGCTTCTGCATCAGTTCCTGCCACCTCCATGTTCCTGGCCTGTTTGAGCTCCTGTCCTGACTTCCTTCTTTGATGAACAGTGAGTAATATGAGAGCATATGCCAAATAAACCCTTTCCTTCCCAATTTGCTTTTCGGTCATGACGTTTCATGACAGCGATAGAAATAGAACAAAGACCTAAGGCATTAGTCTAGATCTACTCTGTCCTTATTTCGCCAGTCTCATTAGAAGAGAGTTCTACCCTTGAGTACTGTATAGACAATACCATCTCTTCAAAGGAAGTAAAAGTAGTCAGAATGGTTATGTTTAATAAACTGCTGTGGTTCTTAGCCCTTCTTAGTAGTTTTTGTTCATGAGTTTATCTGCTGAGCAGGACTTACTGCACAAGGAGACATTGACATTGTGAATGAGATCTGTTCTGAAGCATGTGCTATTATTATGGGATGAGTGGGACTTCCTCCAGAAAGGATCCTGAAACAGAGGATTCATGAGGTGTTGACATACAGAGGCTTCATGAATCGGTGTCAGTAAGGACAAGTGGCCCTGGACTATAGAAAACACTTCCTAGAACTGAAACAAGCAAACAAGCAAACTTGCCTTCGCCATTGTAAAATTTGTGTATATGTGATTTTTAGTTTTACCAAGAGGCCAGCAGCACCCAATATTAGGACCAACTGTACAAACCAAAATATAAGCCATCCAGTTGAGGGCTAGTTTGGTCTTTCATTCCTGAGCAGATGAGCTGGGTCTATGGACACGATCTTACAGAAGCTTTGGTTACATTTTAGGATTGAGTTATACAAAATGCAAGGCAAACAGCTTGTTAAATGGAACAGGCCATTCCAGGTGTAACAGAGATATTTATGTTTGTTTGGTTGTTTTTCTTTAGTAGGTTTGTTTGCACATTTGGGGTGGGGGTGGGGGGTAGAAAAGGAGATAAAAAAGACAAATGTCACCAGGAAAGCTTGGGTGGTGGTGGGGGCTCATTTCACACACAGGGCCAGAATGGCTGTTCTAAAGAAGCTTTATGAGCAAGCTTTGGAGAGGGATGGAGGAGGGGGAAAGGGGGGTGCTTTTGAGAAATGGGGAATTCTGAGAAGTGATGAAAGAGAGGAAGAAATGTGCTCTGTAGAAATGGCCTCTCATTCGGGGAGTGATGTGCTTTTTAAACACTGTACAGAGAAAGCTTTCCACTGTTTGCTGTATTAGGAGCCTGAGACATTTAACCTTGTGAATGATCACATTGAAAGCCACAGGCTAAATTAGTATTAAAACATCATGTGTTCCCCATCATGCTTCTAGAACTGATCTGAGGTAGATATAGGTCAGAACATAAAATCTATGTCAACATAATGCTAATCACGTAGTAGGCAAATCATTACACTGATGATGGCAGAAGAAACTAGTAAATCCAAATGGAGAATGGGCAGATAGAAAACCATAGACCCACCCTAGACTCCAACTGTAAGGAGGTATTAGGCTTCCACATCCTAACACTGACTTTAATTTTAAAATTATCAAATGGGGCTTCTTTCTTTACATGGCTACAAGAATGGAAGATAGGAAAGAGAGAGAGAGAGAGAGACAGAGACAGAGACAGAGAACATAAAAGAGGGAGCCAATATTGGTTTGAAGATAAAGTTGAACACAAAGAAAGGTCTAGAGAACTACAAGACTGCTCCCAACTAACAATTTGAGCTTCCGTGGAAAGGCTATCATAAATGTCCTTCCCGGAGAGTGAGATCAACAACTAACTTCTCCATGGAGCCCTCAACTAATGCCTGTTGAAAATAGGAGCAAACACCCATACATAAACACTGAGTCGAACTAGAACCCAGAAGCAGATGGAGAGGACAAGACCATGCGGTAGAAGCACATAGAGACAGCTTACCTGAACAAGGAGGAGCTAAGGGCCACTAGACTGATAGCTGGGAAGCCAGCATGGGACTGACTCGGGCCCCCTGAATATGGGTCTCAGCCAGAAGGTCTGAGCAGTCAAAGAGACCTCAGACAGTGGAGCCAGGATGTATCCCTGGTGCAAAAAAGGACTTTGCAAACATATCCCCCATGGAGGGATAACTGCCTTATTCTAGAGACAGGAGAGAAGCCCTAGACCCTACTTCACAGGATCTGTCATATCTACATGACCCCAACTGGATGGCATTCCCCTACATATGGAATTGTGGTGGGGGGATGGGAGAGGAGGGTGTTTAGAGTGCATGTGAGAGGGCAGAGAGGGTAAAAGGGAGGGAAGGAGGGAGGGAGGACAGGAGGAGAGGGAGGGAGGGAGGGAGGGAGAGGGAACTGGGATCGACATGTAAAATAATAAATTAAAAAAAAAATGCTTTGACTCCAAAAATTTAACTTGAAGAACAAGTTACTGGGGAAAAGGATTTCTATTTTTGTTTCCACAGAAAATGAAAAGATGTGGATTCCTTCCAGACTAATGTGGTTTGATCACGCCAGATCGCCTGAAACAGAGTACAAGCTGATCCTACATTCAAAACAGCTGGACAAAACAGCCCTACAGACTACAGCTAGGATATCTGAATCTTCTTCGAATCCCCCAAGACAGCGCCCCTTACCAGCAGGAAGTAGTTTGGAAAGAACGACGCCCAAATTCCCAAATATTGTGTATAAATGTTTGTTTTCATTTAATTGGACTTTGTTATATAAAATTAAATAAAAAATTATAAATAAAAAAAAAAGATTTTCATAGCTAGAAAGGCTGACATCAGAAGAATGACCCTAGTAGAGCTTCAGTACATGAACATAACCATGGTCCAAACACAGTGTCCATACTCTTGTCCAAGCATAGATACAACCATTGATGTTGAGGGCTGGAAGCACATGAAAGTCCAGCTCCTTAAAAAGCCTGCTCATCCTTGTGTTGTCTTTATCATTCCATAGAATCTGGAAGTTAAGAGAAACATCTAGAATGATTCATATTGTGGGGCAATCTTTTTTTTATAATTTTTATAATTTATAACAAGCTTGTTTTACATGTCAGTCCCAGTTCCTGTACCCTTCTGTCCTTCCCTGTCCCTCCCCAATCAACCCCCATCCCATCTCCTTTCTGCTCCACAGGGAGGGTGAGGCCTTCCATGGGAAGTCTTTAAAGTCTGACATGTCATTTGGAACAGGATCTAGAAATACTGATCCATTATCAGAAGCCCCTAAGACTGCCCAGTCCTCCTAACTAACACCCACATTCAGGGAATCTGGGTTAGGTTCTATGCTGGTTTCCCAGCTATCAGACTGGGGTCCTTGAGCTCCCCCTTGTTCAGGTCAGCAATTTCGGTAGGCTTCTCCAGCCTGGTCTTGACCACTTTGCTCATCACTCCTCTCTCTGCATCTGGATTCCAGGAGTTTGGCTCAGTGTTTAGCTATGGGTGTCTGCTTCTGCTTCCATCTGCTACTAGATGAAGGCTCTAGGGTGGCATATAAGGTAGTCATCAATCTCATTATTAGGGAAGGGCATTTAAGGTAGCCTTTCCACTATTACTTAGATTGTTAGTCAGGGTCATCCTTGTAGATCTCTGGACATTTCCCTAGTACCAGATTTCTCTTAAAACCTATAACATCTCCCTCTATTATGGTATCTCTTTTCTTGCTCTCCTCTATTCTTCCCCTGACTCAATCTTCCTGTCCCCTCCTGTTCTCCTCTCCCCTCCTCTTCCTCCTAACTCCTTCTCCTCTCTCCCCATGTTCCCAATTTGTTTGGGAGATCTTGGTGGGACAATCTTTTTATACACTGTGAGGATGTGTCTCTGTTGGGCACCTTCTGATTGGTTTAATAAAGAGTTAAATGTCCAATAGCTAGGCAGGAGAAGATAGACAGGATTCCAGGAAGAGATGGGGATTCTGGGAAGTAGAGTGGTGGAAAATTTGACAATGAGACACAGGGAAGTCAGATATACAGTGTGGAGCAGGGATAATGAGACACATGGCAGAATGCAGATTAATATAAATAGGTTGATTTAAGTTATATTAGATAGTTAGGAACAAGCCTAAGTTACAATCATTCTTTCATAACTAATAAGAAATCCTCATGTCATTATTTGGGAGCTGGCAGTCCGAAGAAAGTCTTGAGAAAAAAAAAAAAAAAAAACTCTTCTAATTTTCTGTAAATTTCAACTTAATTATAAGTGATGACTGCCATCACAATTCCAGCCTCCAGCTTCTCCTTAACTGCATTAGTCTTTTTATAGTCCTGGCTCTCAAATTTGATCCAGCAGACCTGCTAATACACTGGTCTGGGTGGGGGTATACCTGTAATCCCAGCACTCTGCAGACAGAACAAGGCAAAAAGACCTCAAGTTCATGGACTTTATGGTGAGTCTTGGATTACCCCAGGCTGAATAGTGAGATTGTCTCCCAATAACAAAACTCAGACTGTCCTACTCATCTGCCCTCCTCCCCTGGCCTTTTGAGATGGAGGTAATTTGTGTCTTTCCCAGTTTACAGTTCTGCTGTTGGTTTTAGGAATGACACTTCCTGGGTTACTTTTTATAGTTGTGTTTCAAAAAGACTAACAAAAAATATATCATTTTAAAAGTTGTCTCACTCTCTAAAGGGAAGAGGTGAAAGGATACATGAAAAACCACCACGCTATGTGTTTTCCATATGGGATCAAGACCACATAGCAGATACATGGGTTCTTATTTCCAAGTTTCCTTAATAGATGAAAAACTAGGTGAAACGTACTCTCCATGTTGGAAACTTTTTCCGATACTATTTGACAAGATTCAATAGCATCCCTGGCTTCCAATATGCATCTTCTTCTACACTTAGGTAGGCTTATCTTCCTATAAAAATAATTTTGGTTGCAGTAGAATGGAGTCAGGATACTCAGTTTTTGGCAAGGCTACTCACTAATTCCATTTTACTCGAAGTGAATTCAGTGCAGTTTTTAACGGCTAATGGGAAAGAAGAGTGCCACTAAAGAGCTCAGAAGTGACAGGTACTCAATGGCATGATTTAGCATTATGAGGAAACTAAAGACACCTCTTTCACAAACCATTGGCAACAAGCAAGGGGCAATCCATTCTCTAGCATGAATTCCAGTTCATCCAAATGATCTTCTTGGGACTGTTGGATGGTTTGCTGATCTGGAGGGGACATTCAAGCTCCATAACCAAGTGATCATCATTGTAAGAAACTGTGCAAGGAAACCAGGCTTTAATTCCCCTACAGTGCCCTTTCTTACTTCCCCCTGGGGTTCAGTGATGGTGGCAAGGATACTGGTAAAGAAACCCAGCAATTAGTTCTTTTCTCTGTTACCTTGTTCTCTTGCCCATTGCCTTGATGGTTGTTTTCAGGACTGGGCACTGATTCGCCAGCACACCCATCCAAAGAATCATTTTCCCCATGCACCCTAAATTATCCCATGGTTGAATAAAAGCCAAGTAAATAGTGGCTCTCAACCTTTATTGCACAAAGCATCACCTGACAGTCCTGTTAAACTCTGGGTCTGGTGACACATGCCTCTAACACCAGCACTCTGGAGAAAGGCAGAGGCAAGAGGACCTCAAGTTCAAGTCAAGTGCCCACAAGCTAAGATGCTAAACGTGTACATAGCTTATATGTCTATAGGTTTTATATACATAGTTTATCCGAAGAGGCAAAGCATATATCCGCTATCATGATCAAGAATCAGAAGTATTTTTTTAAGTGACTCAAACCTTCACTTAAACTTCTCAAAACTATGAATAGGTCCAAATCCACACCCCTGTGTAGTGTTTATTAAATTCTCTAACTACTCCTCCACCCATAGCCACTCCCTTTTTCCTCCTTCCCTGTCCATCTGCATTCTTCTTAGAGGTGGGTGGGGTTTACACTGATAATTTTAGGTTCTCTTTGGTGGAGAAGGGGCTCTAAACAGTCCCAGGTTATAACAGCTGTATCTGTCTTTGATTTGTTAATGGCCTGGACCAGGCATTTTGTCAAAGACTTGGGAACTGAACTGATGAAGGCTCTTTCCCTTCACACAAGATACTTATAAGTTGAGGCAAAGCATGGCTGGGGTTATCATGTTTAAGGGACTTTCTTCTTGTAGCTTCCCTGCCTCTCAAGGTTTCCAGGATGGTCCCTAACCCCCCTCTTACCTCCATTTTTGTTTTAAAAATACCCATTTATGACCATATGTGTACTTCTTTGTCACCCCCTCGTGTTCTCATTCTTTTATATATCCTTGCCCTGGGCAGAGGACATTGAGTGATTGATATTGGCCAATTCAGGTTAGAGTTTGAATATCTATCAAAGTTCAGGTGAACTGATGTCCTCTGCTTAACAACACCAATTAGTCAATCTCTGAGTGAATTCTATGTAATTTTGACACAGTTATGAGTGGGCCTCAAATTTGGGGCTGTACTTTGTAAATTAGCATGACTGCAGCATCCCACAGAGATCTGGATCCTAGGACCCTGCCTGGTGGCTGCAGTGAGGAAAGGAAGAAAAGACAGACACATGGGCAGCAAAGCATCCAGTTTCTAATCACTGCATAGCAGGAGGGCTTGGCTAATCTCTGTAAGAGCTATGCATAGGTAGCAGTACCAGGCTGCAAACATCAGAAGAGAGCTGCAGTTGCTAGTCTTTGTATATCCTCACCAATCCTTCATAAACACTCGTTTAGACTCCTAAGGAAAGCTTTTCCATCCCTCTTGAGTCTGGCCCTCACAGATAACAGTTTGGACAAATTGTCTCATGGGTCCAAGGCCTTGGAGTCCTCTATATGGTCTTGTCCATGCCAAAATGCACAAGGCTTCCCTCACGTGGGGCTTCCTCTACCTTCCACATGTGTAGAGCAATGAAATAATAATGCTAGCTTTTGAAGGCAGTCTCCTTGGATGGCAGCTCATGATGCATGGTTTTAAAACAATCATCCCACTGCCACCTAGAACTTGTTGGCAGAACAAGCATGAGTGGGCATTGGAATTATCAAGAGTAGGCCTGTTAAAACCCAGATGGCTGGGCTCTCAGCACACCTCCAGAGTTTCTGATATAAGAGACACAGAGAGACCTGAGGACATTCATTTGTAACATATTCCCAGATGATCCCGATGTGGGGAACTAAGGACCACCCTTTGAAGATCACTGTTTTGTCAGGTATGGTGGCACAGGAATTTCTTCCAAGCTTTTTATGAGACCATGTCTGACATAAAATATAATCAAAGGGATGGGGACGTAAGTTAGTGATAGACAGCTTGCATAGTATGTGAAAGATTATAGCTCTGTCGCCTGATTGACAGAAAGCGGGGAGGGGACTAAGGGAAGAAGAGGAAAAAGAAAGGTTATTGTTTTAGTGCAGTTAGGCTAACCTGGGAGCTTTCAAAGCATGCTGTGTCTTATCTTAAAACAACCAAGCCATCTCTTCAGGAGGGACTGAGATAGAGGGGTCATTTGGCCCCTTTCCACAGGTGATTTTAATATCCAGTCAGGATAGAAACTCCTTGAGCCAGACCTAAAAGCTTAGAAAGTCTGGCCCTATGGGAGTGACAGAGCACAGACGTTTTAACACATTACATGCAAAGGGGTCGGAGAACTGGATCCCTAACCACTTCCTTAGTCACACAATTATCTGGCCATGTGACCTTGACCTTGTATAAATCACCTTACTTCTGTAAGTTTGTTTCCTCTGTTTTTAAAAGGGGGAGGGTTCCCTTTTTTTTTTTTTTTTTTTTTTTTTTAACATTTAGACTAACAAGACAGCTCTGCAGGAAGACAAGGCACTTCACCCCTGTAGCGCCACACTACGATCTGTTCCATGAATCTGGCAAAGCCTAGAGATTGAAATAAAGACAAGACAGCAGGTCATTCATTCAATGGCAATGTTAGAACGCCAAATGCCGAATGCTGTTTATTGAGGGGAAAGAAAGGGCTTAAATACTGACTTACAGCACAGTGGGAAAATTACAGGAATTTTAGGCTTAGCTCCTCCCTACGAGGTGTGTGTTGTCACAAGGAGTGTGTTGTCATGAGGTGTGTGTTATCAAAAAGGGAAGAGTACCAACAACAGCCTTGGGGCCAGGAGTTGCGGCCAACAGCTTCAGGCTTGCTCAAGGTGCCTGGGGGGTGTGTGTGGGGGGGAGGTCTATGCAGGGCCCTACACGCCCCAACCCTGATAACCTGAGTTTGATCTCCAAAACTTAGGTACATAGAAGAAGAAAAGAACCAGTACCTGCGAGTTGTTCTCTGACTTCTTAAGCTTGCCAAGGCATGTACAGAAAGGGATGAGAGGTGAAGAAAGGGTAAGGGAGGGGAGGGAACAAAACCACTACCAACAAAGAACAGGAGAACTGAAAAGTGAGCTGATTCTCATGAATCCTTATGGGGTGATCTGCTCATGGTTCTCCTGTTTCGGTCCTCGGAACCCTAGCTTTATGAAGAAGGCATGGGCAAAAGCCCAGTTTGGTGGAAAGGGCACTGCTTTTTTGAACTCTCTCCACAGTTCTGGCAGAGCCTCTGGGTGGTGCCTGGGCAGATTCTGCCAATAAAGTCAGGCTCAGTGTCTGTACCCACTTTCAAGTAGTGTGTGGTCAGGACGTCATGGGTCCTTTCCAGGAAATGCTGCATAGGCACCACTTCTGCTAGCTTCTTGCTGACCGGGCTCATCCACTGATAGACCTAAAACAATCCGAAGGATCACACAGTGACCAGACTCACTAGGCAGGCTGCTTGATTGCCTCCAGTTGAGATAAACATTCTTTCACTTATGTCCATACTCAACTCCATACTCTGCTCTAGACTGCAAATGCCACTTGATAAGCAAAACAGAACTAAAGCCATGGTTTATTATCTCCCACCTGTCACTTCCTTTCAAGACCTCCTGGGCCACCAAGATACCCCTATCCCCCCATTGATGTTGACAAATAAGCAATTGAGAATGAACAGTTTTAATAATCCACCAATGACACTTCAGAGACTGTGTACATTTAGCATGCCCTTTACACAGTCATCAGAATTAGTCTTCCTGTGCCACACATTTTTTATTTTATTTGTTTATTCATTATTATCATCATTTGTGGGATCTTCTTTCCTCCTTAGGAGGCTAAGAGCTATGGATGGACGCTCTTTCTGCCATAAGGTTCATTTGGCTCTATCCCTAGTACAGCAATGTGGAGGACTATAGAATGGTATAGATGTGTGTGTTTGTGTGTGTGTGTGTGTGTGTGTGTGTGTGTGTGTGTGTGTGTGTGTGTGTATTGGTGGATCCTTAGGCTGTTTGGATCCCTGTCTCACACAGGGAATACTGGGCTCTTGGAGCAAGTGTTCTCAAGAGTGAATGTGATAAGGTTTTGAACCTAACCCCTGAAGTTCCCTCTGGCTTCCTGATTGATGAAGTCATTGCCATCCATCCTGATGGGATGCAGGTGAGGTAGGTGGTCCTCACAAGAGGGTGACTTAATTGTTTGGACTTTCAGCTTCCCAAACTGTGAGTTAATTAAACCTCTTTTATTCATAAAGTTAGCCATCTTTGGGTATTTCATTATAGTAATGAAAAGTAAAGTAATAGACCAATAACATTTTTTGTTAATGTTCTAATATTAGACAACATCCATGTGTACCCATGTATGCCCTTCCCAGAACCTGCTTGTTGAAGATTCTAAGTCAGACCCACATTAATAATTTTGATTAAACTTTATAGACCTGAATAGATCTGATTTAATTAGGGATCATATATATCAAGCTTTGAAGGAATCTTATACTGTGACTAATAAATCTGTAACTGGGGTTCTATAAGAACAAATGTAGTGAAAAATGAAGACATATTAAAGCAGCCATCATCATGTCACCCAAATTTCTATGTAGTTGATAGTGAGCAATCCAGAATTACAGGAAATAGTAGTTAACTGAAGAAAACAAATTATTTTTAAAATTTAAGTATTAATTGGCATAGAGACTATGATGAAAATTTGTTAGTACCTTAACAAAACTTGACTAAAGTCAGTTTCAATTAGTCTGTCCACTATAAAAGAAAAGCATTTTATGACACAAGTACTGTAAGCATTTGTGATGAATCAGAGCCAGGATACAGACAGGCCAAATCTCAACAAAGCTATAAATAGCAGCAACTGGAATTGGTGGGTGTATATTTAGTTATTGCCAGATGAGTGGTAATGCAGTCAACTTTACAATGCTTTAAGATAGATGTTACTATTCTAGTTCCACAGATGAACAAACTAAGAATTAAACAGACTAATGTCTTTACCAAGGTCACACAGCTAGCAAGTAGCCTAGCTAGGTGTGATCCTATTATGTTACTCTTCCTGTTACTATGATAAAAAAAAAAAAAAAAAAAAAAAAAAAGAAAGAAAGAAGAGAAAAGAAAAGAAATACTCTGATAAAAGCAATTTAAGGGAGAAAGGACCTACTGGGCTCACAGTTTGAAAACAATGTCTACCGTGACAGATAAGTGCTGAAGGTAGGGGCTTGGTAGCTGGCTACCTCTGTCCATTATCAGGAAGAAGAGAGTGATGAATGCTTGTGCTCAGCTAGCCTACTGTTCCAAACACTTCAGAACTCAGGAGCAAGGACTACTGTCTTCCTTTAGGGTGGATTCTTGCACCTCAGTCAACCCAATCAAGACCTCTCACAGGCACATCCAGAGGCTAACCTCACCTAAATAACCCCTCACAGGCTTGCCCAGAGGTTAACCTCACCTAAATAACCCCTCACAGGCGTGCCCAGAGGCTAACCTCATCTAAATAACCCCTCACAGTTGTGCTGGAGGCATGTCTCCCAGACCATTCTGGATCCTATCAAGTTGTCAACACTGACCAGGACATCAGACCAACAGGTTTCCCTGGGCATACAGCATCATATTCAAAGCCAGGGAACCAATAGTTCTTTAAGGTGCTGTTTACAGAGGAAAGTATAAGTTCTTTCTAGCATTCTGAAAAATTATTCTAGAAAAATAATATTATATCCTCAAATGCAGAGAATATAGATTGATTAAAAAACCTCTTTGGAAGGCAATTTGTGCATTTATATACAACTTTTAGATATGTATATCCTTTAATCCAACCACTCTAGCTGTAGAAGTTTATACAAAAATAAATAAATAAATAAATAAATAAATAAAGGGTGTGGCATCACATAGACATACACTCAAAGCCATTTCTTTTTCACTATCTGCTTTCAGAAACCACTATGCATCTCCAGAGCATTACAAATTCTTCTTCACAGAAGGCTTGTCCCTCAAAGAGAAACTGTGGAGCCCCCTGGATCCAGCAAGAGAAAACATTTTCAGCTAAACTAAACAGAACTCACTGAGGAACCTTTTCTCCCTGTGTCTCATGCTCACACAGGCAACTCTGTGCTCCTCTAATCTGCTAAGGGCATGGCAAACCCAAAGAAGTGTTAATTATGGTTCATGTTCAAACTGGTGCATGGGGCTGTTCTTCCCTTTTCTTTGTGCTGTTAATTTGTCCTTTTGTTGCCTGTTACCAGGTTTTGTAGTTTCCATGGTGGAGGGAGAGATGCTTGGAAATCCCTTCAACTCACAGTTTGAGCCATTCTAGCTTGTGAATATTAATATTGAAAGTAGCCATCCTGCTACATCCTAAAGCAGGTTGTGACTTCCAGCAACACCCTCCGTCGTCATATGTGTGTCCTTACTCACCTCCTTATGGGGTTGTATCTTTCATAGGAATAAGCCTCAAGGCTCCTCTGGACTGACAACCTCCTGTCTTTGCTGCACTGAGGATCTGGAATGAAAAGAAAGATGTGAAATAGTGAAGACATCAAGACTTCCTGAAGAGTAGAGGATTGATTTAAAAGGTCATAAAGGGATTGGAGAGATGACTATAAGGTTAGGACCATTTAATTCTCTACCAGGGTTCAGTTCCCAGCACTCATGTCAGGTAGCTCACAGTTGCCTTATAACTACAGTCCTAGGGGATCTGACTCCCTCTTCTGACTTCCATGAGCATTTACATGTGGGCTTGCACACACATGCCTACACACACACACACACACACACACACATTTTAAAAGTAAAATTTCAAAGGTCACAGGAGGCAGTGCACATGGGATTTGAAGTCCCAAAGCCAATGTTGAAGTAATAATTCCTTGATTTACCTGCTATGATACCTTGGGCAAATATTTAGCCATTGTGAAATGTGCTTTCTTTGACTACAGAGTGAAGATGATTATGTCAATCTTGAGGGAGGCTAGAACAACTCAGTAAGGCATTATAGATAAAAAGCACTTGTAAGTTTCTAAAAGATGTAACAGCTAAGATTTATTGAGCTGAAACTTTTTATGGGACAGGTGTTATTTTAAGAAATTTAAATCTCATTTTCTCCTCTCTAAAAACATTGAGGTTGAGATAGATTTCTTTTTTGTCTCTGTTTCAGAGAAGAGGAAGCCAGAACACAAGGAAAGTATTCACTGGGTCCAAACCCTGGCAAGTCAACTTAAGAGCCTCTAATACTAACCACTGCTGTAAATGGTGAGAATGAATCCCTATGCAGCAGTTGAAACCAATGACAGTCCACCATGACATAATCACCCAAAGTCATATTAGAGTTCATTCCTAGTGTAGTATATTCTATGGGATTTGACAGATGTTGCTGTCCAGTATAAACCAGTCTCGTATCATACAGCACAATTTTAGTGCTCTACCTGTCCTCCGGACTCTGCTCGTCCATCCTTCCATTTTCAATCCCTTGATAATTACTTCCCATCACCGAATCTGCATAGTTCTACATTTTCCAGAATATTATATAGCTGGGATCACACTGTGTAGCCTTTCCAGATTGACTTCTTTCACTTATTAATATGCATCTTAGCTATTTCTCTATTATGAAGAGACACCATGGCCAAGGCAACTTATAAAAGGTAGCATTTAATTGGGTACTTGCTTACAGTTTCAGAGGGTGAGTTCATGACCGTCACGGCAACAGGCAGGCAAGCAGGCATGCTGTTGGAGCAGCAGCTGAGAGCTTATATGTTGAGATAACAACAGCAAGGCAGGGAGTGAGCCAACTAGAATGGCATGGTCTTTTGAAGCCCAAAGCCTACCACCACTGACACACATTGAACAAGGACATACCTCCTCCAATAAGGCCACACCTTCAAATCCTTCTCAAAAAGTTCCTCCAATCAGGAAACAAGAATTCCCATATATGAGCCTTTGGGGTCATTCTCATTCAAAACTCCACAATATGCTTAAGTTTCTCCCATTTCTTTTCACAGCTTCAGCAGTTCCTTTCTCGGTGCCAGACAATATTCCCTTCTCTGGATATGCCACAGTTTACCCCTTCACATATTGAAAGACACCATGGTTGCTTCCTATATTGGCAGTTATGAACAAAGCTGCCATAAACACACATGTGAATGATTTTGTGCAGACACATTCCTAGTTCATTTGGATAAGAACTAAGGAGTACAATTGTCGAGCCATATGATACATATATATATATATATATATATATATATATATATATATATATATTCTATCAGAAACTGACAAACCACTTTCCAAAATCGGTGGAGACAGTTTTGCATTTTCATTAGCAACGAATAAGCTCTGGCTGCTGTCTACCCTCACTAGCCCTTTGATGTTGGCCTTCTACATGTGGGCTGATGTAGCAGACTGTAGTGCATCTGGTAGTTAGAATTTTCAGTTTTCTGATGACAGATGAGATAACCCATCTTTTCCTAGGTCTCTCAACTCAGTTGTGTTTTCTTTGATGAGACACCATTAGTGTCATCTGTCCACATTATACTTATCATGTCTATGTCTTTTTTATTAATGTTTGAGTTTCGGGGTTCTTTATATATTTCTAGATCACACTCTCTTTTTCATATGTGACTTTCATAAATATTTTATCTCAGTTTCTGTCTTCTGGTTTTCTTGACATTTTCTTTAAAGGAGTAAGAAGTTTATACATTTACTAAATTTTGGCATATCAGTTTTTCCCCCTTGGATTGAGCCTTTCCTGGCATGTCTAAAATGTCATTGTCATACTCAGAGTCATCTAGGCTTTCTAACCCATCTTATATAATTTGATAGTTTTGTATTTAACATTTAGGTAAAGAACTCTCTGTGTGTGTGTGTGTGTGTGTGTGTGTGTGTGTGGGTGTGTGTGTGTGTGTGTGTGTATACTCATGTAGATGAGCGTGCATGTGTGTGTATACTCCTGATGGAGACCAGAGGTCAACCTTGGCTGTCATCCTCAATAATGCTGTCCACCTCCTTTGAGATGAGACAGGGTCTGCCACTGGTAGAGATTACCAGTGGATAGGCAAGCAGGGACCTATCTGTCTTTGTCTTCCCAGTGTTGGGATGACAGGGCTTTGCCACCATTCAGCATTTTGGGCTAGGTTCTGAGGATCAAACTAAAGTCCTCATGCATGGCGAACAGTTTATAGACTGAGCCACCTTCCCAGCCCCAGCGATGTATTTTTTAGTTAATATCTGTGCTTTCCCTGTACTGTATGTGAGTCTAGTTTCTCCAGCATTCTCTTGCAAAGAATATTTTTGCTCTGTTGTATTATTTTCTCTTTCGTCCAGATCAATTGACTATGCGTATGTGGGCCTATTTCTGGGCTCCCCGTCCCCTTATACTGATCTATTTTTTTATTCTTTTGTCAATACCACACTGTCTGATGACTGTGTGGTGACAGTAAATCTGAAATAAGGTAATGTCAGACTTCTGACTTCATTCTCCTGCAATATTATGTTGGCTATTCAGTGTCTTTTATTTGTCCACAAATCTTTAGAATCAGCTTGTCAATAATCACAAGATAACTCCCTAGGATCTTGTTTGGGGTTGCATTGTGTCTATAAATAAAATTCAGAAGAGCTGATATCTGGACAATATTGAATCTTCCTTAGTGTGAATATAAATATTCTCCCATTCATTCAGTTCTTTGTTGTCTTTTATTTGAGTTCCTTATGTTTCTCTGAAGAGGTGTATTACAAATATTTCATTTAGGGCACACTAGTGTTTTTATTTTTATTTTTAAATTTCAAATTCTACTTGTTCTTTTCTATGTATAGGAAATCAATGGACTTTCCTATGTCAGCCAGTTTGATCTGATGGATTCTTAGTTCCAGAATGATTATTGCTGATTCTTTCTGTTTTCCTACCTGTATATTCACAACCCCTTTAAACACAGGCAGTTTTATTTATTCCTTCTTAAGCTGTATACCATTTATTACCTTTTCTTGTTTTATTGCATTAGCTAGGACTGTAAGAACTCTATTGAAAAACAGCAGTGAGTGAAGACATTGTGCAGAAATGACTGATCTCCCTGTAAAAGCTTCCAAGACCTTGCTGTTAAGGATGACATTAGCTGAAGGCTTTAAAAAGTATTCACCAGCCAGGTGGCATATGCCTTCAATCCCAGCTGGGAGGCAGAGGCAGATGGGTCTTCAAGAGTTTGAGGCCAGCCTGGTCTACAGAGCAAGTTCCAAGACAGCTAGGACTGTTACACAGAGAAACTCTGTCTCAAAAACCCTAAAATAAAATAAAATGTATTCACCACACTGAGGAAGTTCCTTTTTCTTAACCATAGATGTGTGTTGGACATTGTGAAACTTTTGGAGACCTACTGATAGGATGCTATGACTTCCCTTCTGTCTGTGGATGCAGTGGAATGTTGGACCAGCTATGTTTGATTGGGATAACCTCCCCTGCCCCAAGCAGTTCTTTTTATCCAAAGCCAGGCTGCATTTGTAGGTAATTTTTTGAGGATTCTTCTGAGTTTATGAAGGCTATCAGTCTGCCCTTTTTTTTTTCCCTTGTAATGTCTTTGTTCGACTTGAGTATTAGATAAATGCTGTCCTCATAGGCTGAGTTAAGAAATATTCTCTCTACCCCTAACTTCTAGGGTTGTGGAGAACTGGGATAACTTCTGCCTTAAATGTTTAACAGGAACCAGTAAGGCACCCTGGGGCTGGTGTTTCTGTCATGGTTTAATCATAGTTTCAGGTTCTTTAACAGCTTTAGGATTGTTTTAACTGTCTACTCAGGATTTATCTTTCAGCAAACAGTTTATTAACACCATTCAGTGCTCGCTTTATTTCAGGCATTAGGCTAGCACCTACCACATGTACAGTTTGTAATTCCATTCTCATTTTAACCCTATGAAGTGTGCTCCATGTTCCACAAACAAGAAAACAGCAGAAGAAAGAAAGTCACTTACAAAATGACAAATAGGTAGCTAGTAAGTCATTTTGGTGACTATTTCTCGCTAAAGGCTTTATTCATCAAAGAAGATGGGGTTTGACTATTCATTGGAAATCACATTGATAATCCATTTATCTAATAAATATGTATGGGGCAAATTCTGTGTTGATAGCACTGATGTGTCAGTTTTAGGAGATGCTGTGATGCTAATTTCTATATAGGGATGGTGAATTTGTGGAAACTTGGACAGCTAATTAGTGTTCTGATGACTTTCATCTTTTCCCCACATTCTTGAACTTCTGTGGAATTGTGCCTCTTCTTTCTTGAGCCTTCATATCTTTGTAAAAGTGAAAAGAATAATATTTCAAAGGACTCTTATGAGAATTAAATAAGTTAATCCACGTTAAGCAATGAGAACACTCTTATTGTAGGAAACTCCTAATAGACAAGCGGTAAGAACACAGGAGTTTGAATGAAACACGGCACATGCTGTATTTAACTGCCATGATATTAAAAGCAAAATACACAAAAAGCAAAATTTAGCCTTTCAACTGGTATTCTTTTTTTTTAAAAAAAATGTTTTTAATTGAAATAGAATTATACCACTTCCTTCTCTTTTTCCTCCCTCTAGCTACTCCCTGTCATCCTACCTTGAATCTATCCCATGGCCCCACTCTCAAGTTGATAGCCTCTTTTTCTCTTAATATATATGTTACAAAAATGTATGCATATGCACAAATATATATACACACATATATATTCATGTATGTATACATACATACACAAATATGTACTTATACACAAACTGAATCAGCTGAGTCCACTTTAGTTGTTTGTGTGTATATGATTTCATGACTGACTACTCTGCATTGGACGGGCAAATCACAGATCAAAACTTTTCTCTCAGATTCATGGAGAAGCAGAAAGCACTACTTGATCTCATTGCATCATCGTCAGGTCCTGGTGTTTTGTTCTTTTTTTTCTTTCCTATCAATATTAGGGGTTTGCTGGAATTCTTAAATAATGCAAAAGTTTTTAAAGGCAATATATATTTAAATAATCCTGGCTGTCCTGGAACTCACTATGTAGACCTGGCTGGACTTGAACTTACAGAGATCTGCTTGTCTCTGCCTCCCAAGTACTGGGATTAGAGGCGTGCACCAATACCACCCTGCTACAAAATGTCTTGATAGGATTAACTGAAATACAAATCTCAAGATGGCATATTTTTGGCTAGGTTCTGAGTATCAAACTAGTGAGCATTCAGCTATGGTTCCAGAACTCAAGAGACTGAGGCAAAAGGATCACAAGTTCAAGACCAGCCTCAGCAATTTAATGAGAGCCTGAATAAAAAACAGAAGCAACAAAGATGAATAAACAAATAAAACAAAGATCCATTGTTATTTGGGATCCTGCACTAACAATCACTACTTGAATAGAATTCAGTTTCAACACCTAATTACACCACTCAAAAATGAGCAGTCTTTGTGGGGCTGCAAGGGAAAGGCTATCTATAGTCAATAAAGAAAGACAGAGAGACAGAATAAAGGTCAGAAGGGCAGATCAATCAATACTGAAATGCCACGAGTTTATTTTTCACCACTCTTATATACCTTAACCAAAAAGGGGAACACAGTATCATGTATATGGAACAAACAGACTTTTCTTCTTCACTTATTCTAAGGGTTCAGTAACCACATCTTAGCACCAACTTCTTGTTTCCTAGCCTTGAGGTCAGGAGTAGCCATACCTCAGATTCAACTTCTCCTTCCCTAGCCTTGA